TATATATATATATATATATATAGTACCTTAAACTTCATACAAACTATAACGACCAGATGTTTATAAAAAAAATAATGCTAAATTTCAATGCTTTTTAAGACACCAATTTCAAGAAGACTGAAGAAGAAGCTGCTTAAAGATATTATAGAGGACTCTTAGAACTACCGCAACTTTATATGAACAGAATAGTAGAATCGAAGTGATTCTCTAATTATCAATATAATATTAATCAGATTAATAGATCGAGTGATTGACATAAGCCAACTAGCTCATAAAATTGTCCTGTATTCTGATTGCTATTGAAAATAAAATTAAAAAAAAAATCAATGTTTAAAAAATAAATAAAAACAAAAGAACAGGTTTCACTTAAGTGAACACCTCTTGTGTACTACTGAAAGCACCAAAATTTTATATGGCAGGAACGCAATGACTAGAGATAAATAAACATAAGACTAATTGCAAGACACGGAAATAAATACAATTAGCGCATGGGTCAAACAATCTTCCATGGAAGCATAGCAAGATGCTAAAATAAGATCATATTGAGATCTATGATCTCGGGTAGAAATCTGATATCACACTGCCCGATACAGAGGTGACCGAGGTTGGGATCAAACCTGAACTAGGGTTTGCTAGTCTACGTCTTTACCTCTACTGGCTGTATTAAATAGACTATAATACTTACAATATGATCAACACAGGCACATGTCTTTCTACCTGTATTGCAACCATAGTCTTCTGACTCTTTTGAATCCTATAAATAAATCTGTTATATACAGTACGCCCACTTAAATATGATAGTTGTATTTATTTCTCTAGATTATCCTAACATTTAGATATAAGGTATGAAATTAGTAATTCATATTAAAAATCTTCCAATTATATATAGTTCTGTTCTTTCAATGAATAAATTCGGAATTCTGTGCATGTGCACATTCTCGTATAAACATATATAGTACAACAATATGTCTACTTTTTTATCTGTTAAAATTAAGCCTAGTAATAGCATGCTATGTACTTTGATTGGTGAATGTCTGCTAACACAATAACGATAAATTGATTATCGAAACCGAAGAGGGTGAATAAAATAATAGACTACACTTATAAAAAAAAGTAGTAAACATCAAAACAACAACCAATAGTTACCACTTAATATTTGTGACTACAAAAAGGTAATATGCATAGCAAACAGAAGCAGAAAACTCCATTACTCCTTTAAGAAAACTACAAAGGAAAACGATTCTGGGACTAGAAAAAAAGTGCAAAACATGGTGCTCTCACAACTAATATCAGATGGACCAATTTTTATTATTACACCTATTATAGATGCGTATTATTGTTATATTAATTAATTATTATTATTGTTATGTTTTGTGTATTATGTTATTATTGTTAATAACCATAATCTTCAAAACAGTTGAAAAACTTCCACATAATCCCATCTATTTCCTTCTTTATAATTCCATATATGTATGGAAATATTATAGGAAAAAAGCTTTATCCTTTTATTAATATTATATACTTCTAATAAAACATATTACACTTTTTATATTGAATTTGTTACAACTTATATCCATCATACTATGTAAAATCTTTTATAAAAAAAATTATTTTCCTGTCCTTGTCGTATATTCTTGCTCCCACGCTTCATCTCTTTGGCGGATTGCTAATAATTTTCTTTCTGGAATAGTTTCAATAGTTCGTTAATAAAATTATTTTAAATTCTTGGAATAAAACGAATTGGCCAAGATCTGGCAAAGACCAATGTCGATACTGTTAAAGTAAAATAATAATTTACAAACATCATTGATTTAGCTTGTAATAAAATTATTTCTAGCCTAAAAGCAACGATTAACCCTCCGTCGGTCGGATATTTTTCACCTTCGAACGGTCGGAAAGGTCTGGCTGGACCACATGCATTTATATGGGATAAATGAGTTTTTTGGGTGCCTGATGTATTAACGATTATATAAAAAAAATCAAGAAATATAAAAATATCGTTGCTTTTTTTGTTAATTTTTCTGTTTTAAATCAATGGAAAACAATATTTATTCTTTTTCGGCGCCTTTGAAATGAATGTGTGCATTACTCATCCGATTTTCAGTGTTTGCGATTACCAATAAGTTTGGTAGGTTTTCAAGAAACTTTCGTCATGAAAATACTAACATTCATGTTAGAACACATAGCAAAGAATATAAACAACGCAGTTTGAATAGAAAATACCATGAAAAAAGACAAAATACTGGTTTAAATATATCAAAAAGCGTATATTTCATACAAAATGTATGGGTGGTCTAGACAGACCTTTCCGACCGTTCGAAGTATAAAAAGTTAATATCCTTATAATTATCCTTCTGTACATTTTTTCGTCCTGTTTTTTCATTGATCGACAGCTAATGAAATTTTAGGAAAAGTCAAGAAATTTCAAGTCGATAGGATTACTAGAAGTATTTTTTTTTTTAATTGAAGTCGAAAAAAGTCTGGTCAACCACGCCGACCGACGGAAGGTTAATGATAATAATTGTACAGGTTAAATGGTTTCTGAATTATCCGTATTTTTATTATCATAAAATACTATATAACCCTTTGAGGACGAGCGCCGCATATATTCGATTTACGCAAATCATCAAATTGGCCGAAGAACTGATATATGCGTTTGGCGAAAGCAGTTGTTATATCCGAGAAACGCATATATTTGTCCCACCAAAATACATGTCGATGTAACTTGGAGTGTTACTTGGAGTGTTATGAACTAAAGCCGCCGTTGAGCAGAAGTATGCATAGGCAATTTTAAATGACTATGGTGGCAAGAGCTCGGCACGTCTCGTCTCCAAAGGGTTAATTCTACAAAATAAACTGAAATGTACCTTTGGCTTCTTTAAGCAGCAAGCGTTCGCGTTCCAGGTCCGCAGCTGCCGTCTTGAGGCGCAGGCCCAATGCACCGCTAACTAACCGGCGAGCTAATGCCGGACACGTCTCAGGCCTCGTGCGATACGGTTGCAAAAATTCCGCACACCGGCGAGCCTTTTGCCTCGACTCTGATGTACCTTCGCGTAGTGGCCGCGTTTTCACGAACGGCAGGTCTTGTGACAATGCCTCTTGGGCTGATTCAAAATACTTAAGTTATAGCATATAATTATTATTGAGGTACTGAACAAACTATTGAAAGTAAGGTTGCTTAAATCAAAATCCTATACTTATTGTTCACAGAAGACATTAAGTAACCCTTCAAGCAAATGCATGCAACTTCTGATATGTTTAATTTAATGCAAACGAACACAACCGTTAAACCAAATATTATAAATTATATTACACTATTAACCCTTACCGCTCGACACTGATTCAAAAACAATCTACCACCAACTCGGTGCCACATTCTGACGAAAACGTACTTGCTCTAAACTAATTATTGCGCATCATTGTATGTTATTCAATATGTTTGAATTGAATTTGTAAAATTATTCTGCGTTATTCGTATTAATTAATTAGCGTGCCAGATTTTTTTTATCATTGCACGGAAAATTGTAATAAATCGTAAGAAATGAATACATTATAATTTGTTGATGGAAGAAAGATGATGAAATAAATAAAATGTCAAGGCCGCAGAAAAATAAAATCCTTGATCTATTATATTCGACGCTTCAATAGGAACTGAGCCAATGTGTATACAAGTTGCCGAGTGCCTCAGAGGAAACAGCCGAGCGATAAGCTAGACTTACGTTGTTCCCTCAGGGAGACTTCCGAGTGGGAAGGGTTAAAATATAGATGAATACAAATGACATATAAATAGTGATACATAATATTTTCAATTTTACACCTATAGTAAAAACGTACCAATTTGTACACTGCTAAAAACTGCTAATGCGTGCGTGTCATCTACCCATTTGATTTCAAATCCAGTCGATTTGTAGGGCGAGAAGACTGATAAAAGATCTTGAGTTTTAAATTCGGCAGGAAAGTCATAGATTTCTAAAACATGTGCAAAACTGTCATCTGATATCGTAGATGACTTATCTTTATTTTGAAGTGATTTTTCGCTATTACTCTCTTGGGGAGATATTGTTGCTTTTCCTACCATATGCGTGAGGTCTTCCCAAAGCTTTGAATCTAAACAGTCACCATTTTCATCATACATAGCTTCCCAGTCATCCTCTTCCGGATTTATTTTGTGAGATTCCGATGTACCATAATGTGTCGATTTTGGTACTGTTATAATAGGTTCTTCTTTCGTGCACGCAACATTACGTTTGTTTTCGATTGTCTTTTTCTCCGATTTGGTAGGTTCAGATTTTCTCTCTTTCTGTTCGTCGGAAATGATGAGTACATCTGATCTGAAACTTTGTTTCATAATTCTTCTGTTACTCCTGTTGATCTCTTCCGATGCGCGTTGCAGTTCGAACAAATCCCGATCCTCATCCATTAGCTTATCTTTCCAATCATCACCGTTTCCGTTCATTTCGAAGTTACTTTTTTTTACATTAATTGTTTCGTTACTGTTGGACGACATTTTATTTTTGTACATATTGAGTTTATCACAATTGTTTTGTTGAGAATATTCACTTGATTCGTGGTTCATCTTAAGGGGAGAATTGGCTGTTTGCGCAACGGCGTCTCGTCTCGCTCGAGGCACATATACTTGTCTATCTGGTCTCCGCTCACGTTGACTTACAGAGTTTTTCGGCGAGGTTCTGCAATTAATGTTATCGTTAGTAAGTAGAAATTGGCATCTCAAAAAAGGCATAATCTATACTTCACTTGAATTAGACATATAAAAACTAATATTTCCCAATAAAAGTCAAATTCATTATTTGTGTGATACACGATCAAATACTGTCATTTAAAAATTAAAGAAAACTGATATTATATGAAATCATTTCCTCGTTATGTTTGTCTAATTATTACCTCCACATGAAGCGATAATCCAATCCCCATTCGGGAAAATGTTAGGTAACATTTATTCCGTTACGCTGTTTACAATCGAGATTTACATCACTCAACGTAAAATCATGAAGTGAAATCTTACGACAAACAGTTTCAACACGAATACAAATATTGTATTATATAATATTCAAAATGCCTTACATCATTTATCAAATATAATCATATAAAATATAATAAAACATAGGCAACATAGGCTTTGTAGTTATAATATGCTCGAAGCCCAAACGGTTGGAGGAGGCGCTGAATTTTAATATCAGCATCTTTTATAAAAATTGTTCAAATTATTTTAATTAAAGTCGCAAATTATGTTGAGTCACTATTAGAATTAGAATTGTTCAATATTGGTATATTAATTTTAACTCAGAAACTAATAGTATTGAATTGAATTATTAGCTGTGGTTAGAAAATATTTTATTGAAAGTCGAACTATAATATAATTTTATAGATTTCTATCCCATTCTAGATATTTGTGGTACAGAAAATAGTTTAAGCAGGTTTAAAAAGAATTGATAAAATCATATTATTAAATCAAAACTATCCTTTATCAACTATTCTTTTCTCTCATCTCATCAGAAAAAAACGTTAACTCACAATATACAAATTTCAAGATTAATACTAATAGCGCTCATTTTTATAATTACTTGCAAAACATTTTGGTTTATTCGTTGTATTTTCAATTAGTTTAAAAATTAATTTTATAGAAACCAAAAGAATCTTGTTGTAAACACAGGTAAGGGTTATAAAGAACCCGGAATGGGCTGGAAAAAACAATTTTCTTAAATCTTTTAATTTAAGGTGACCATAAGTCTCGAATTGCCCGGGACAGTTCCTAATTTCCACCCCGAATCTCGAATTATTCTGAATGCAATATTTGTCCCGGATTCAAGTTTTCTTGTTCAAGTTTTCTTGTTCAGGAAACTTGTTATTTTCAATATTCATTTTAAATATATTTCAAGTTGCAATATTTTTATAAAATATGAACCGATAAAACTGTGCTTGACACGACTTAAAATAGATACATTAAAAGCGATTTTATTTACTAAGTTTGTTATGAAGAAAATTGTGTAGAACTTTGTGCAATGCTTGCGAAAAAAAACACAGTTCAGAAAATATATAATTATTCTCGGTAATTGATAGAAATAATTAAAAAGCTTATTTTTATTATATCCTTAAATAAATAAAAAAGCCATAAGTAAGTTTTATATGCTAAGTACACTCTTTCCTAGAAGTTTCCATCCTCAATGTGTAGTGTTAAAAATATAGCCACAATATTTAATTACCTCTCATATAAGATTTCGACTAACAACATTTACAACACAAATCCCAAGAACAAAACAACATTTTCACATGCAAAGGGTCATCGTATGAAAACGATGAACCTTCTATATGAACTCAAACGTAGAGAAAAGAGTGGCTTTGGTAGTGAGAGGATGAAGCGATCGCTTCTTTCGACCCAAAAGTTTTGTGCGAAGACATACGGGAATTCGGAGTCGAAGGAAAAAGTGATATAATTCTGGGTGGATATGAGGCCATGAGTTTCCCGCAGACACAACAATTGATTTTAAGATATCATCATATCAATCATCATCAATTAAAATGTATTTAAACATTGAAAATTACAGTTCTAAAGAACTATAAATTACAAGAACAAATTAAATTTTCTTAATAATTTCATTCAGAGCAATAAATGTTGAAGCATGAGTAGACACACTGGATGTCGTCTTTGAACTACACTTTTACATACAGGTCGTCAAGCCTATGTCGTCTATAAACGACGCTCGTTGCAAAAAGAATTATGGGTCATGAATTTGATAGACAAGATTTCAGAAGCAATACGTGATAAATATTGAACTGGTTAGCAGGCCATTGCAGCACAACCACCAGTTCAATTTTCACATAAACTAAATACTTTATCAACTTAAGAGGGCGTACACTAATAACGCAAGGTTTTAGGCGGAGGGGAAGGAGTATAGTAGGTGTATTTATTTTTTACCTGAATTTTTTACTAAATCCAAACATTTTCAAAAAAAATTCAAGAATTTTACAATTTTTTCATGTAACCAAAAATACACGTGATATTTGGTGATGGAGAGGAGGAGGGGGGTAATTTTGAATATCACCACTTATCAACAAGGGGGAGGAGGAAAAATCCTTTTAAAGTCAATCACGTGATTAATGGACGTCCCCTAAAGACAATTTCACAAATAGTAAACAATTCAAATGATCATAATAAAGCATGATAATAACCCTAATCAAAACATAAATTTCTTTTAACCATACTTTGAAGATAATCCGTACAACGATTGTAAAAACGATTTGCTAAAGGTTTCTTCTTAGAATTATAGAACGGCAAGGTCATAAATAAACGGAACGGCATTTCCATCCTTGTGCGAAACCAACATATGGCTCTTGGATAGTATTTTAAAGTTCAATAGACGAAGTAGAAATATGCCATGAGAAAAATGCTTTTCCCACATTAGTTTTGCACACGTTTAACCTTTATATTGCATTTAGGAATTACATTTTAAAAGTGGAAAACATCATTGGAATTTCAGATACAGATAGAACACATGTATCTTATATAATTGCATTTGTATGCTTGCTAATTCCTACTTAACACCAAGTAACAAAACGACAGCAATTGAAAATTAGAGCTTTGTTTTAACCATATAGTATTTCGTTCAACTCAAGACCGTCAATCGTCAACGATATGAATCCTAGGAAAAATAACTAAACAACGACAACCTGAAGAGTTTCAAAATGCTGGAATGGGAAGATTAAATAAGCTGAGAAAGATAACAGATGAAGAACTCTACAGGACGCGATTATATAAACATTTTTATGAAAAACTATAAATATGATATACATATAATGTATACAATATGTATGTGTAAATAAACATACAGTAGAATCCGCTTATTATGGCGTAATCATACTACGAACTTTAGTTTTCTTATAGAATTCTTTATGAAACAGTTGGATATAATGGCTTCCTTTACATTCACATGTCGGTCATGCTGATTTTTTATATATGTCCAGTTATAATGACTGGCATGATTATACATCTCCGGTTACTGGGGGAAAAAAAAGCAGCCTAAAAACCTTGCCTGCTTAAAAAACAAAGACACATTAACCGTTATTTTTGCCTTTTGCTAATTACTGACGCCCCATTTAAATAAAGACTGTTTTTCACCACTTTGTACTACTTTTGTAGTTAACTTTAACAGTTAACTTGTTAACCTAATTGTTTTTATAATTACCGCCCGAGAGCCTGCTATTTTCGATAGTCCCGAGAGTCCCGGACTAATGGACATCCACTGTACATACATATTTACATAAAATTGGTTTTTTTGTTCAGTATGCTTTGTATGACGAGTTTTTGGTGTCCCTTCGACGTCATAATACTAAGTAAGCGGATTCTACTGTATATGCTTTGACGTTGACGATCCTGATCGATTGCTTTATGCAATGTAGTGCAGTATTCATCTGTTGGCTAATACGCTTCCCCAGTATTTACAATTAGTTCAAATATTAGAATATAATTCCAGATTTCCTGACGATAACAGTCAACACCAATCGCTTTTCGACATTACTTGTGATTGGATCAATTTCTTTTTTATCAACACCTGATCCATCAGAAATTCAAACAAATAAAGTTAGAAACTAGTGGCGTGGGTGGCATCGTACCTTGAGGCAAATTGCTGGAACTTCCCGTACCGTAACGAAATGTTCGAGGAATACTGAATGTTTTCAAATAGATTATTATTAATATTGTAACATTGTCTTATAAATATTTATAAGAATTATATAAACTAAATTGCAAAGTTGAAATTATTTGTAAAGTATATTAGAACTATAGTCAGAATTAAAAATAAAATCTGATTTTCGATATACAAAAAATTAAAAAAAAAAAAAGTTGAAACAAATTTTTTTTCCAAAATTAATTATTTTGTTAAGACAAGCAGAAAGTTCTTTGAATCATTTAAATCGGACGCTTAGTTCTCTCAAAAACTGCCATTTTTTACATATTTAGCTCCGTATCTTCGAAATGGCTGGACCTGCCTTTGCCAAAAACTAATAAACACTTCTCCCAATCATTACTAATTGAATGTTTTTTAGATCATTCAAATCGGATACTCCGTTCTCTCAAAAAGTCGATTTCTATTTTCTGCACTCTTTGCTCCGTATCTCTGAAACGGCTGGACCTGCCTTAGCCAAAAACTGATCAGCTCTTCTCCCTATCAATAGGAATCGAATGTTTTTTGAACCATTCAAATCGGTTGATCCGTGCGCCCGAAAACGTGACTGGAAATTTGTATCCATCCATACATACATACACACACACACATCCATTTTTTCTGAGGTATGCCAAAATGTTCAGAAACCTTCAAAACGTCGAGAAAAGTAAAAATTTTCAATTCCGATTTTCGGCCCATTACAATAACTTACCCTACGGGAAGTTAGAATGAACATATTTACAAGGAGATTTGTTGTCTAATGTCAATGAAAATAGTATATAGAAACAGAAGAGTATAACTGATCATTGATTAAAAACAACAGAGAAAATATAGAACAATTTATATAAATAACACAAGAAGGACTGTGTGAACTTCTGGAAAATAGCTATAAATTAATAGTTACACATGCATAAGTATAAAATAGAGATATATAATATCTTTATACAGTAGAACTCCAATTATCCGAATTAATGGGGACCGGGACCCATTCGGATAATCAAATATTCGGATAATCGGAGTTTGTTTTTAAAATTTCCATTGGAGAGAAAAAAAGTTACGTTTTGATATTGCACTATTTTTTTATTGAATTAAATGAAAGAAACATGACATTTTCACATGTTTTAAATATAAATAAAATGTACTTATGTACAAGTTTAGAAATGAAAATCATTGTTTTGTAAACATCTCCGTCAAATCAAAACAAACAATGTGCCTACACTGGCTTCGCTGGTGGAAGAATAATAGCGCACTTAGACTTTTTTGGACAATTTTTTTTCTGAAAGTGATTCGGATAATCGGCGATTTGGATGGTCGGAGTTCGGATAATTGGAGTTCGGATAATTGGAGTTCTACTGTAGTTCAAATATTACAATATAATTCCAGATTTCCTGCCGATAACAGTCAACACCAATCGCTTTTCAACATTACTTGTGATTGGATCAATTTCTTTGTTATTTCTGATCCATCAGAAATTCAAACAAATAAAATTAGAAAAACACAAGGCCAAAAATCTAAGCAAGAATGAACATATTTACAAGGAGCTTTCTTGTCTAATGCCAATGAAAATAGTATATAGAAACAGAAGAGTATAACTGATCATTGATTAGAAACAACAGAGAAAATATAGGACAATTTATATAAATAACACAAAAAGGACTGTTTGAACTTCTGGAAAATAGCTATAAATTAATAGTTACACATGCTTAAGTATAAAATAGAGATATATAATATCTTTATACTTATATACCTATATTTACACGCGGTATATATAATTTAAGATTAAACAAAACTTTTAAACTTTCAGATACATAATAAAATTTCACTATTGCAAAATCAATCTTACAGTATGTTTTCTGTTATTGAATTTATTTATACTTGCAACACAGAACTTAAATCACATATTGTTTATTCTGAATAAACACAACCAGTTTGTATGCAATATTTTCGAATTTACAACAAAGTTTACTGGTTTTACATTGCACCTGCACATTGAAGACAAAAACAACACTTAATTTTTGAATAGTTTCTCAGCTTACACAACCATAAAGAACCGTACACAAGCTATTACTATGCACTAGCATCGTTGTCTTTTAACTCGGAGAACGAAATGAAATGAAATGAAATGAAGACCAGCAATATTTGTGATGACGCAAGAGCGAACACTCTCGCTTTCGAAGTGAAATAACTCGACGCGAAATGAAATAACTCCAGCAGGCTAATCAAACCGCATTTCTGCACTATCGGATTATGTTATGGACATTGTCGCATGGCGCGTTCGACGCCGTCGGTGCTGCTTTCGCAGAGAGAGGGAGGCCAGCCGAGGCCAATTACGAAATACAATAATATAAGCGGTAAACTGGCAGTTGTTGCGAAGTCGATACGATACAATACGTAACAGAACAGAATACTACGACGAAACATATAAACAAATTCATATTCATTCCATATACAAATATTACAACGGTCTACTTTTTTTAATTACGACGGGTCGTAAAAAGGAAGTAGTTCTCTAGAGAGCTGTGCTCGAAACAATGTTGGAGTGTCTATTATATAACATCAATGACCCAAAATCTGTAACGAATTAACAAATAGCCTCTTCGAAATTATTATACAGAAATAATTGAAGATTGAAACAAATTGAAAGATTTCTAGCAAACCCACGTTAAATAATGAAAAGTCAACTAGTGGTGCATTAAGGCAAATTGCTGGAACTTACTGTAATTCATTTTTTTTGAAAATTTTGCAAAAAAATAGATTTTTAAATTTTTTTCTAATTTTTTTATTTTAATTTTTATTTTTAACATTTTTGAAAATTTTGAAAAATATTGATTTTTGAAAAACATGAAAAAATCGACAAGTTTGAATTCTTATCTAAATTGTAAATTTTTTTCTAAACGATTGCGCTGCGTATCTCTTTTATAGACGAAATATCGAAGCGCGTAAGCGTCGCAGTCTAATCTTTAAACATTATAAACAGGCATATAAATAAAATTTCTACGTATTGTTAAAATCTCTATAAAATATCTGATAATTTAAGTGCATATATCTAAAGATCATTTTTGGCCACAAAATGGCATTTTATAAAACTGTTTTTCCCAAAAATTTAATCAATTTTTCAAATCTGAAGAAGAAGCTGCCCGAAGATAATATGGAGGAACCTTAGAACTACCACAACCTTATATGAACAGAATAGTAGAATCACTTATTGAAGTGATTCTCTAAATATGATTGTAATATTGATCCGATAAATTTATATGTGTGTTTGAAAGTGTGTGTGTATGTGTGTGAGTGAATGACATAAGCCAAATAGCTCATAGAATGGTCATGTATTCTGATTGCTATTGAAAATAAGAATTAAAAAAAAAAAAAAAATCAAATCAAGTAAAATCTTTCAGGACGCTCCGTTCTTTTAAAAACTGAATTGCTATTTTTTGCCCCGTATCTTCGAAACGCCTGGACCTGTCTTTGCCAAAAACTAATCAGAACGTTTCTCCATCAATATGAATCAAATGCTTTTTGAATAATTCAAATTGGTTGATCCATGCTGTCGAATCATGGACTAAAATTTGTATCCAAACATACACACAAACACTACATACATCAATATACACCCAACAATTATTTGTATTGTAAAGTATTCCAAAATGTTCAGAAACCTGTGAAACGTAAAGATATAACAAAAAAATCATTTTCGATTTTTGCGATTACTATAACTTGACCTACGGGAAGCTAAAAATTGTTATCATTATCATTCGAAATTTGTCAAATTATGTATAATTTTATATCGTTTTATGATCATTTTGCCATACCTATAATATAGGGGGTTTTGCTCTATATATTTTATGTACATCAAAACCCCGTTAAAACGATTCACAAGAAACCGGACCAAAACGTGTCATACATGAAAAAGCGTATAATGCGGGATAGAGGCAACTATATCAAAAACAACTAACAACAATTGCTAAACAAACGATACTCAAAGAATTGTAAGTAAAACGGGTACTGCCTATTGATCAATGCATAGAAATTATTTCAATATAATTATTATATGACAATAAGAATGTACTAGAAGCCAAGATAATAAATTATTAAAAAAAATATTATGTGTTTACCTTTTAGTATTTTGAATTGTATTAGCACGATCAGTCGACGTTTTCGTTGACGATTGGGCATCGTCGTTGTTTATTACGCTTTTAAATGGAACTTCACGGGCCGCCGGCGGTTGATACAGCTCTTTAGCAGCACCGTTCGAACAGCTCTTACTTTTTTCCACAACATCACCAACAAACATAGGTGGTATGGATAAATAATCTGAAATTGATAATGCAATGAATATAAACAAAATTGAAAATATAGCGCCAATAAATGATAAATCATAATTAACTAGTGGGGTGGGTGGCATCGTGCCTTAAGGCAAATTGCTGGAACTTCCCGTATCGTAACGAAATGTTCTAGGAATACTGAATGTTTTCAAATAGATTATTATAAATATTGTTAAGACAAGCAGAAAGTTTTTTGAATCATTCAAATCGGACGCTTAGTTCTCTCAAAAACTGCCATTTTTTACATATTTAGCTCTGTATCTTCGAAATGGCTGGGCCTGCCTTTGCCAAAAACTAATAAACACTTCTCCCAATCATTACTAATTGAATGTTTTTTAGATCATTCAAATCGGATACTCCGTTCTCTCAAAAATTCGATTTCTATTTTCCGCACTCTTTGCTCCGTATCTCCGAAACGGCTGGACCTGCCTTTGCCAAAAACTAATCAGCTCTTTTCCCTATCAATAGGAATCGAATGTTTTTTGAACCATTCAAATCGGTTGATCCGTGCGCAATAAAACGTGACTGGAAATTTGTATCCACACATACATACACACACACACACACATACACACACACACACACACACACACATCCATTTTTTCTGAGGTATGCCAAAATGTTCAGAAACCTTCAAAACGTCGAGAAATGTAAAAATTTTCAATTCCGATTTTCGGCCCATTACAATAACTTACCCTACGGGAAGTTAATAAAGAAACGATTGATAAAACGTATAATATAAAATAAAAACGATTTTTATTCGTCATGTTAGGAATAATCTCAAAAGAAACAATAGACTTCTCTTCATGGATTGAACTCTAAAATTATTATTTTTTCTCTCTTTTATGTAGCAATAGCTTATAAGATTTCATTGTACCTTGATTTTTAAGCAAAAAAAAAATGTTACAAATAACAGGTGAAATAAAAAAAGGGCTTTGTTAACTCAGCATATTTTCTGTAAATCCAGATCAGAGAAACTCATATCTTAAGGGGTTACAACACTGTAGCAGTAAAAAAAACGTATGTTTTGCTATTTTTTTCGGACGGAAGGAAAAGTATTAAAATCATGATATTAAAGATAGTTATTTATTGTACTTTAAAGTAACAAAATAAAATATAATTGTAAAAAAAAATTAAAAATGGCGGTACCACAGCCATTTTGACGAGCCGCGTTAAAATCCGCGGTACGCAAAATAACTGCAACAATTTGAATTTTTTTCACTCGAATTTATAACAGTATATTTAAAATTACATTTTTAAGTGCCCATCATAGGAGATCTTCTATATGTTAATTTGTTCATCAATTATTAACAAATTACTATCCGTTTTTTTCGTTGAAATTCAACGATTTTGAATAAAGTGCTCGCCAAACAAACAAAAATCGATATTTTTCAAATTCGCTATGATGTGCACTTTATAATGTTATTTTAAATATGCTATTGAAAATTCGAATGAAAAAAATTCAAATTGTTGTTATTTTGCGTGCCGCGGATTTTGATGCGGGCTCGCCAAAATGGCTGTGATACCGCCATTTTTATTTTTTTTCAATTATATTTTATTTTGTTACTTTAAAGTACAATAAGTAACTATCTTTAATATCATGATTTTAATACTTCTCCTTCCGTCCGAAAAAAATGGCAAAAACATACGCTTTTTTTACTGCTACAGTGGTTAACTCCTTAAATACAGAAATTTGCACTATGTTGTATGTTAATAAATGATCCAATATTTTTTATGAATTAGTATCCAAATTAATCTAGGACAAAAAATAGAAAAAGCTTAATAAAACGGTGAATTTTAAAATAAATGCTTTTTTTTCTAAAACAAAACTTAATGAATGTTTTTAACTCAAAAATTCTAGACTGTAAATGACATAATAATTCAACTTTTTATAATAATTTTAAACTATCCCAAAAATATAAAAAAACTGTTGATTGGTATTGCGTACAGATCACGCAGCTTAATCAAACAAAGACAAAACTATTTAGTTAGTAAGCTGTTTAATTGAGATCAACCGATTTGAATGGTTCAAAAAAACATTAGATTTCTATTGATAGGGAGATATGCTGATTAGTTTTTGGCAAAGGCAGGTCGAGCCGTTACGGAGATACGGAGCAAAGGGTGCAGAAAATACAAATCGAGTTTTTGAGAGAACGGTGTATCCGATTTGAATGATTCAGAAAAAATTCCGCTTGTGTTGACGAAATAATTGCTTTTGGAAAAAAATTCATTACATTTTTTTTTATTCTTTTTTATTTTATTTTATTTGTTTGAATATCGAAAATAATTCAGATTTTATTTTTAATTCTGACTAAAGTTCTAATATACTTTAAACAAATAATTTCAACTTTGCAATTCAGTTCATATAATTCTTATAAATATTAGACAACGATAAAGTATTTATAATAATCTATTTGTAAACATTTAATATTCCTCGAACATTTTGTTATGGTACGGGAAGTTCCAGCAATTTGCCTTAAAACACGATGCCATACACCACTAGTTAAACTTTCATTCTCATTAAATATTTTGTTTTGACGATTCTAAATCGGTTGTTTAAAATTATTCAAAACGAAAAGAATGATTATATCATGAGACGGAGGGCACATACATAAGCAGGTACCGGCAGACACACGTAAAGCAGCTAAAGACATACTCAAAGCAAGTAACAGGTGAATACTCTCAAACAGGCACTAAACACAGACCACAGGGAAAGGCGCAATCATGCATATAAAACATTTCCAGAAATCCAACCACAAACAGATGAAAGCGGTGCTTTAGTAATGTAATATATAAGGGCAGATCAAGCACTGAAGATAAGAATTTTACAGGCATTTGGTCCCTTCAAGTACATCTCTAGGACTCCACAAATGAAATTAAGAAATCGGTATAAGTGGAATTATATCTTAAGACAAGTTGTATGAACTTCCCGATACGTGATAATCGAGTTAATCAAGAAAAATTGAGATTTAGCTATGTAGATAAAATTTCAATGCTTCATTTTGAAAATATTTTTTATGCTTTTACTAAAAACTAATCATTTCGATGTCCGACTGATATCTCTCAGAGTTACATGAAATTATGTTAATTATAGCTCATTAATGAAATTATGGACCATTGACGAATTCTTATAACTCGATCTTTTTCCGTGAGACTAATATTTCAGAATGTTTGTTTAGGGTCGAAACTTTAGGTCATGAACTCTATCGCCATGTTAAGATAAATTAAAAACGACAAAAAATATTTTATAACATTTAATTACGCAGAAACGGCTCAGTCCATCTTTCCCAAAAACTAATCAAAATAATTCCCTAATGATATCTTTCGAACGGTTTTTAAATTTTCAAAATCGGTTCAAGATTGTTCAGGAAAACGTGGACGAATAATTTTGCACTTTTTTACTAATTCTAAGAAACCGGTCTTGTCGTCTAAAAAACTGATAATCATGACACCTTATCGAGTTACATTGAATGGCTTTTAAATTTTTGAAATCGGTGCAGCCGTTTTTGAGAAAACGTCGACAAAGATAAAAAAGGTGGTGGCTGCTAATTTAGATTTAATGCCTTTCTTTGGACTTAAACTATTAATTTGATGCCTTTCATTCTTGTTTTATAATTATAGTCAAAATTGCATTAATGCAAATTATAAACCACATATAAATAATAATAAATATTAAATTCTGCTATTCAACTGATTTGTTTCAATAATAATATTTATTCAATTTCTCAGAAAATTATAGAGTTCTTATAACTTTTTACTAGACAGAATATACTCTTATTTTTTAAAAATCTGTTTTTCATTTTCAATAAAAAAAACTAATTCATAAATGAAAAAGAGAAGGACAAATTTTATTTTATTGTGCTATAAATTTTACTACTCTACTCTCATCAAGATCATGTTTACCAGTCTTTTTCTTCTTAACTTAAAATAAAGTTCTAGAAACTACATATGTAAATTATAAAGCCGTTATACTAGATCTGAAATATTCTATTGTAAAAAACTCAAAAATGAATTTAGTTGAGTATTAATAGCTAAATTTGATCGAGTGTTATAATACAGAAAATAATACTCATTCAATTAATGTCACAAGATGCATTCCACACGTAAAGTACAAGTACGAAAGGATTATATTAAAAAAATCTTATTCCAGTAGTCCACATAGATTACATAACTATACTATACTATATTAGTATTAGAGTTAGCGGTCACAAATTAGATTTTACTGATAATTTAAAAAACGTTAAATAATCATAAATAAATAAAGATTACTAATGTTAATGAATAAGCCCTTTATATGAGACGTAAGTTCATAAGATAATAAATTAAATTTCAGTATCTCGGAAAGTACACGAGTGCTCAGTTACATTTCTTATCTTAAATTTTGGTGCAGCTTAAACGTGAAATATTTAATTTAATTTTAATAAATTAAATATGATAATTTTAATTAATTGAATAGTTAAATAAATAATTTTAATAAGTTTAGAAAATCTTAACATTGCTGATAAGTAACACTATTTTCATCAGAAAAGATAGTAGAAACAAAGAAAATAACAATGCTATTCGTCAATTCAAAGCATACATTACCAAAAATATCTTTTCTAAACGATTACATGTCTTTGTTACTATCACGAGCAAAAAATGTATATGGAAAATCTTAATATACAATATCAATTATATGGACAATATAACATTTGTATCAAATTAATGATATAACTTGATATTCACATGCATCGATTGATTATTAATAAAATCACTAGCAATAACTATAGTAATTTCAACTCTTATAAACACCATATTAAAGAATAATAGTAAAACTCCAAATGCTTTGAAATTATTAACTGATCACGCATGTTTCAATATGAGTATTATAGTTTATGGTGGTATCTCAAATGAAAATCTAAACGAATAAAATAAAAAATTATCCAACTAGTGAAAGCAATAATAAACAAAATAATATAGTTGAGACATAATAATACTAATGATTAATATTAAACAGAATACTTCAAGATTTATTTATTTTGTGATAATATGTTGTTAATTTAACATACTTGACAATGTATTTCTGCAGACTACTGTCCTGCGATAGTATTTGCAACCAATTGTAGCTGGAGTTTATTACACAATCGGTTTTATAAAGGAATAAAAGTCTATTGACAGGTGGAAATAATAAAACCCTCGCGCTGGAAAGAATAATACTTTAATAAGAAAAGATTTAAATATAAAATCAGAATAAAATTGGTTAGTTAAATGTATTCATTCATTGAATTAGTGCATACAAAACATAAAATTGATATAAAGAATAAATTAATACAAAGTACAATATTGTACTATTGAACGTACCAATTTTGGATTTCGCTTTAACTATAGTTTAATATATGCCTTTTTATTAATAAAACTTGTGCATGAATCTTTTTTAGGAATTCATCATAATCCATTTAGTATTTATGATAACGAGACTTGTGATAACACAACAAGTATTAATTACAAATTTAAAATCACTTAGTTATAAATTTAAAATATATACATCATCCTATAATCTGTATCATTATTATGTGTCTAAAAATCATCAAGTGGTATAAAATAAAATCTATTCATCCTAAATATATGGTTAATGGTTAATATCATTGTCAATCTATCACGATTCCACACACGGTCGGCGTTAACATCGCTGAAAAAATCCAACGTTAACGGATCACGTAGAACGCTAAATATCCGTTAAAATACTTTGTACAATGATCCGTTAGCGCAGTGCCTTGAATGAATTATGGATAAGGGTGCATCCTCACCTAACGAACGACACAAACGAATACAACGAACAAGAAACAACGAAGAAGAACAAACACGAACACGAACGAAGGCAAATCATTCCAAACAAAGTTGAACAAACGTTATAAAAATTTGAAAGATATCAGTTGATATTATTTCTGTAATTTCTCTTTTTAAGAGAATTATTATAATAATTTTTCTAATTATTGAAATGTGATCCTTTTTCAGAATTTCAATCGATTTCCTTTTTATCACATGTTCACAAGAATTCTTTTGAAATATTTTTATTATTATTTTTGTTAAGAATTTGTTTTAAATATATGTATAATTATTATATTTTTTATTTTAAGAAGGCACCAAATGTACGTGCATATTAGATATTTTTCTATAAAAGCCTAAGTAAATTCGTATATTTAAATTACTTTCTTATTATAAATTTATTCTTTCAATACGAAAGGATACTGATTCAATGTTTATTACTGACATCATTGAAAGAGTATAAATACTCCTAGGTAAAAAACGTATATATATCACCCATATATTGCAATTTGCCTTATTCAAGAAAATACATGTTTTATTCGTTGGGAATCAGGCTGATTAATTTTTGGCGATGATTGGATAATATTACGGCCAACGGACAATATTTTATATAAAACATAGGTAAAATGTATAGAAACCATACGAATTAAGTCTACTAACCTTATTAAGAAATAAGGATTCACTAGCCAGAAGAAACAAGTCCACTATTCAGAAAATGAATTGTTTGTTAGTCAAATAAGTAGTTTTCAAATAGAATATATAATAAATAATTAGTTACTAAATTTGAGTATAAATTTAATTATGCTTATAGACCGATCATACAGATAACCGTGAAAAAATAGTTATAAATCGCTGTTCATCAAGTAGACTCTGAAATCCAATTGTTATAAGAAATGCACTTTATTTAAGTTTGTGGCAAAATACTACCGACAGAAACTAGATTGCTCAGTTTTTAAAAAAAAAAAGAAAATTATCTGTGAGTTAAAAATTATTATTATTTGTATTTTTCTGAGTAATGCTTAGGGCTATTGTAAATGAACAAAATAATTTCCCATTTATTTTTTAAGCTTCCACAATTTCGTTATTTATAAAACAAATTATAGAAAATAATACGTAATATCTTCTGTTTCCAATCATAAGCAAAAATTTTATCATTTAACTTACATAACTTCTATGGCAGATTTACAACTAAAATCTTGAATCTTCGGATATTTTTGCAAAACATTGAAGTAATATTTTTCATTTTACTAGTAATTCTAAAGAAATGACATGCACGATTATCAAAGAAGTAATTAATACGATCATTTTTGAAATTGTCAAACAATCCAAAATGTCTGGAAATGTTCAGATAACAAACTTATCTCCTTCAGAAAGTTAAAAACAAAGTATTATCCTATTTGCACTTACATATATGTATATATAATAAATAAATAATTTTTGAAGATGTTTTTGATTTACCTTATCAATAATTAAGAAAAGATGAATAATTTATTTATTTACAAGGTTGCATATACAATTTATACAATTGATTTATAATTTTCATATTGTTTCATTAATCGTCTCCTCCTGTCATGACTTCCATAAATTCTGTAAATTGATACAAAATATATAAGTATTTATATAAAAAATAAAATAATTTATACAGTTATTAAAAATGAAATAGAAAATAAAAAATAAAAATGAGAATGTTTCAGATTTTATAAAATTTTGAAAATTGCATCATTAAGATTGTAAAAAATAATAGTGAAAAATAAGCAACACCTAATAGAAATTTTAGTTAATTTCTATAATCAATTGGTTTTGGAAATTTAATTATATTATTGAGAATGTTATTAGGCAGGTTAATATATAATAATTTATTAGTAAAATTATTCTGAATATTGAAAAAGAACATATTCAATTATACATACCATCAAAATCAACAGTTCCTGAGCCATCGGAGTCGATTTCAGCGATCATCATGTCCAGATCTTCTGATGTGATTTTATCATCTAATTCTTTCAAGATCTCACGCAAAACAGCTGTGGTGATGTAGCCGTTTCCTAGAAAATAAATATTAATTTTTAAAATTATTTTAATTTAATTTTTAACTTAAATTTTATATTTGCTTGCGATCAATACGAAAGCGCCCGTTGATGCGACATAGCAACATTTTACGCGATACTTCCAAAAATACTATTTTTTTATTTTTTTATATTCTACATCATGTTTTTAATATACTCATTTTGACATGAATCATAATATAATTATTATTTGTTCAGATTATATGAGATTTCCAATTTTGCTGTGTGTAATAAAGATTGATTGTTCAACATTGAAATTATATTTTTTGTTCGCAAGAACTTAATATTGATTGTTGGTATATTTTACTTTTATTTGTGCATAATTTTATTTAGTCTTATTGAATTTGACTTTTTTGTCTAATTCTGAATATAACGCAAATTATAAACTGATCAAAGGCCGGACAGATAATTTTTGTAATTCTTTGAATATTACTTTCGATCAACTTTTCAGTTTAAAATTTCTAATAAAAAAATATAATATATAATGCTAGTAATAAAGAATTAATATTTATACTTGTAAATTCTAAAAAAAAAAAATTATCCCGCAATTTCTATATTCTGGACTAAACTGAATAAACGGATACTACTCGTATAAATAACTACTTATCATATCTCTATAAGGATAACTCGGCCATCATTATTTATTAAAAACACTTCAAATTTCATATTAATCATAATGCTTTTTCATAATTAAAAGGTTTACCACTGGGTTACCTTTTAAAATCTTTATCTCTAACTACAAACCAATTACTGAATGTCTCCTGGAGACAGATTATAATTAATATGGCAATAAAAAAATCATCAGTCTTATTTTGTAATATGAACCTAATTTAAGTAGTTGTTTACAAGTGAGATGGGACTTGAATCTTGAATAATTTAATAAATAAACAAATACCTTCTTTGTCGTATAATCTGAAGGCCTCTTTGAGTTCAGCTTGCATAGCTCCAGCATCTTCCTCAACCATGAACCGAGCAGCTAGTGTTACGAATTCTTCGAATTCCAGCTCACCCGAACCTATTTTCGTAAATCAGTTTTAAATAAATTTCAACTGCTCTTGCATATATATTCTTAGATATTTACAAATAATTCGACATGGTGTTATTTTTAGTGTACTGCGACTGAGTCTCGGATAAGTTTGTTTTGTTATCTTACTAAACGTATATATTTAGATTATGTCGTCTTGCATTTTATGTATGTGGCCTATTTGATTTTCACAAGATACTTTATATTTAACACGTTGTGAGATTGCAGAAAATTATTTCACCTTACAAAAATCGTGCAATTTTTAAAAATTTGTTTTTTTACGCGATTTTTTTTAATAATAAAATTAACAAGTACTTTACGATAATACAATCCTGAATAAATGGGCAACACACCTTAGTGTATTTTTTAAATGAAGGGTCTCTCAAAGTTAATCAATTTTAACAATTTTAAATTCATAATTCAACAAAAAGTCTTCTTGAGAACTTGGGGTAATTGGTTATTATCTTTCAGTCCTAAGAATCAGGTCCTAAAAATGTTATTCACGATTACGGTTTTAAAGTTTAAACAAACAAAATTATTAAAAATTACCTACAATAACCAAAAAATTGTGATAGGGGAAAGTCCCGTAACGCCGGATGGCACCAAGCACCGGACACTCTATTTAACACGTATTATTTAAGCGAGTATAAATCTTTTCATTTCAAAATACAAGTGAAAGGGGCACTGGGGGTACACAAGTACAGGATCACGCGCCAAGCCTCGTCTGTGACGCACACGGCCACGGCGAGAGCAACCCTTTCCTGTTTTAGGCGTAAAATCACGGCGTCACCTAAATATCAATGGAAGTAATTCTGGCATATTTATGTATTTACATTTAAGTGGTATGCAAAGATAAAAGTTCTACTTGATTGTTATCCGTAAAATGGTGAAATATTATTCGATCTTTTAAGCAATTTTAGTAGGTGCCACCAAATGAACGAAAATGTCTGTCCCTTAGCACCGGACACTAAGTCGTCAACATATTGATATTTCTTGTGAGAATTTTGCGTAATTTATTCTAATTATTTAATTTTGTTCTGTATGAGTGCTAACGGTCACTACACACCCCCATTTTTCGTATTTCCTAGTCAAAGAATGAAAAGCTTATGAATGCACCAGCTGAGAGCATCGGTGTGGCCCAGCCAAAAGGGTGGATGAATAGTGACTTTTTTTTGCAATATTCAAGAATATTCGTCAAAGACACATGTGATAGTATTAATTATTTTTTAGCAAAGATTGCGGTTTTGTTAATTTAGTTTGATTTCTAACTTTGATATCTAACATAAGTCATAATTTAATAAACATTTCGTAAAATACTTTTTGATTTATTTATAAATAACCTTAGGTGTCCGCCACTTGGGGACTTTCCCGTAATTCAATCAAAGCTCTAGATTGCACTTAAAATTCGTAATTTTCGAACAACGTGATTTTTTTTTCAGGACACTTAACTTTCTTAATAAGACGGCTTTAGAAAGAAATTCAGAATTGGTCTATATCTTTTATTAATTTATTTTTAGAATAACTCTAATATTGACCATTTTTTGTATTTCGTGAAGCAATATAAATTTCCCAGTAAAAACTGATGCCTCCCTGGGACTGACCTGCTTGACATCAGGCAGTCCCAGGCGGTTATCAAACTTGGATCTTTTGATTCAAAGACTATAAGCTCCGAATAAATTTTAGTGAAATGTTAAATTCTAAAAATTCTGTATCTCATTACTGACCGTCTACGTCTACTTCTTTGATGATGTCGTTAAGCATGCCTTCAGTGAGGGAGATGCCCAACATTCCCAAAATCGTACCAACCATGACGACACCGATGCATCCTTTCTTCTCCTGATCGAAGGCATCGAAGGCATTCTTGAGTACTGTACATGGATAAAATACATAAATATTTATTTAAATAAAATCAATAATACCAGTTAAATCAAATTGTTGTTGAAATATAAAATACTTATTAAATTATATACTCAATAATCATATTAAAGAAGAACAGTAAGCAATTAAATACTTCTATTATTTAAATATTTATAGATTTTAATTATATTGATTTTAATTAGTATTTATTGCTTGATATTAATATAGGGAGTGAAAATTTCAGAAAAACCTCAAAGAAACCTTAACTCCTTTAACTGATTAACTAAAATAAAAACTAATTAAAATTGAATAAATAAATGATGCATTTAATTATTTCAAATATTTAATTAGTGCAAATTTAAAAAATACAGCAGTGCAAATTAAAAAAAAAATTAAAAAAATCTTACTTTAAGTAAAATGATATAGCTAAATTAGGAATTAATTGAAACCTAAGTAGAACATAATTCTATTAGATGATGACAATAGTTCTCATATTTCATGAATCCTTATTCCTATCACAATTAATTCAATTATTAGTATTAAATATATATATATATATATATATATATATATAAATATATTCAAAAGTAAACAAATCCTGAGCACGTGTATACGAACAAAATTGATATAATTGTAATTATTTATAATTGACCTATTTATAGACAACGCATCGGCTCGATCTTTATTATCTAAATAGTGTTATTTTTAACGATAAAAATAACATTTTCTCAATCAAGCAAACAGTATATTTTTCAAAAATAACAGCAGTTAAAATTATACAGAAACACTAATATATCAGGCAAACTAATTATAATTTAGTTTTCACGGAGTACCGTCAGCAGGCGACTAGATTACACTATGCGTATCTAAATTCAAAAGGACGATTTGGCTGGATTCCAAACATATATTTAACACTAATAGAGGTATCATAAAATAGTTTGTTATATTGTATGCGTGAAATTGGAGATTTTACAGTTTTATTTGTTTCCATTAATAGCTCATTTGATTTTGCAGTATACGTTAAGTAATATCGATTGTGTTGGTAGAATCCTTGAAATGATGCGTAGCACGTAGATTTTACTTTAACCGTTTCTTTTCACAGGTATTATATTGGCAGATTTATTAAAATTATGCTTAGAAAATAGATTTTAGTTAATACAAATCCGTTTTTTATTATCTCATGATAATTTCGATGATTGAATTCTATGAAGGATGTGTACTATAATCCATAGGCTTTCAAACTTTTTTGTACCGTAGACTCCTTTGGCTTTGCCGGGAGCCTTCTATTTACCCGATATAATTTTTTTAATTCTAAAGTTTAGTATTAAACATTCAAAGTAAAAAACAAAATATGTTAAGTTTATTAATTGAATTTATAATGACAAAAGTAAGCGATAAGTATATGTTTAATTGTCAACATTTGGCGACAATTTTGTAAGGTTTAATATTGTACTCCCGGCTAATGATGTCCAGTTTACATCTTTTTATTGCTAGGAGGTCAGTGACAACCCTAAACCTTTTTCTTGTCTATTTTACAAATATTTGATCGTTGATTTTAATTTCGTGGGCCCAGATTTTTTTTTTGCAGACGGGGACCCCCTAAATGATATTATAGACCTCAAGGAAACCATGTGGACCACTTTGGGAATCACTAACTTTAATCGATCGTAAATTAGTTGAAAATTTGCCATCAAGTATAATGTTATTAGTATTTATTAATTTTACTAAATATATGCCCTTGTGATTTAATTATTTAATTATTTTCATTAATTCATTTTTGGCTTCAAACATAATAACTGTCGAAAAAAGGAGAGCGTAGTTGCTACAGCCGTATCTGTAAATCAAAAGTCTCCAAAATTTTCCATAAAGGCAAAAATCTGATATAATGATCAGCTATAAATGATTTTATAAATCAGGGGACGTCCATTAATCACGTGAGGTTTTTAGGGGGAAGGGGAAGTTTGACAAAAAATCACGAAATATTACATGTGGGAGGAAGGGGTATAGTAAGATATAACGTGTATTTATTTTTTAGCTGATTTTTTTTAAAAAACCCAAACATTTTCAAAAAAGAAAATAAAAAATTTTACCATTTTTCCCGCAACTAAAAATACACGTGAGGTTTGGTAGGGGAGAGAGGGTAATTTTGAATATCACCAAGGGGGAGGAGGGGTCCAAAAATCACGTGATCACGTGATTAATGGATGCCCCCTCAGCGTGCCGCAAAAAGACAAGAAGAGAGAGATTTGAATTGTTCGTGAAATTTTTGGAAGAAGATAATTAGGAAGAATAATAGTTCTTTTAATTTAATGATTTTTTTCTTTAAATTTTAGAGAAATCTTTAACCCTCCTAAAGGCTTTCAAACAAATTTCTAAACGGGGCCCATTAAGACACGCTAACTCGTAAGCTTATTCGATCAGCTTAATTACTATTATTTTTTTGAAATCAATACATTTATTTTAGTTTTATAATCACCAACAGTTTTTTTTATAGATGTTGTGATTATTCAATATATTTTACGCCTTCTTTTTGATGTACTATTGCTAACAAGACCTCATTGCAATAAGACGTTTGAGCGAACGCGACAGCCGCAAAAGTTGGACACGTAAATTATTTTGGGACGTAGTATTTTTGACAGTAAATTAAGGCATATCGAAATCAAATTATAAATGACTTATATTACTCACACTAAAGTAGCGATTATAAAATTAAATCAGTCAGAATAAATCAATAAGCAGAAAAAAATCTAACAAGTTGATAGAAGAAAAATAAGAAATTGATTACCGCAGAAGATATTATCTTTATCTGCGTTCATACGCGCAGAAGGAATTCCTAATATTTATAAACTAATTTATTTCCGAATGGAAAATAATTCTTTTTTGCATATCTTTACGTTTCAAAGTTTTCTGAACATTTTGGCATACCTTAGAAAAAATTGATGTATGTGTGGAGACAAATTTTTGTCTACAATTTCAAGAGCACGGATCATCCAATTTATAATTCAGAAAAACTTCGATTTGTATTGATAGGAAAACGTGTTGATTAGTTTCTTGTGAAGATACGTGGCAAATAGTAAAAAAATGACTAATAAGTTTTAGAGAGAACAAATCATCCAATCAGAATAATATAAAAACATTGACGGAATTAAATTTTGGTTATATTTTGGACAAGGCAGATCCAGTGGTTTTGGAGATCCAGAAAAAAAGTTAAAAAAATGCTATTTAGTGGTCAAAATGATTATTAGACTTTTGCACATCAAATTATCAGATATTTTATAGAGTATTCAATAATAAGTACAGATTTTGTTTCTAATTCCTTGAGTTGCGTACCAAGATTTATAATGTTTGAAGTTCACTTATTTAGTTCAAACAAATGTCCTCGACATTTTAGACAGTATGGATCAACCGACTTGAATGGGTTCTCAAAACTCTCAAAAAATTCAATTTTTTTTTTTCAAAATTAATAAAAATAATTAAATTAGTATACGATGAGTTCCAGCAACTTGCCTTAAAGCACGGTGCCATGCATCACTAGTTAGATTATATGATAAGTTAAAAAAATTCGATAATACATTTAATTGAAAAATAGTGAAATATCTAAAACTCTATCTTAACTCTATTATCTGATTATATGATACGGCTACAGCAATTTTATTAACTATCTTTAGTACAATTCTATGTTTTGTAACTGACTATATTTTTATTTTTATTTAAAATGTAAGCAGTTAAATAATTTATAGAACAACCTATATATTCGATATAGGCTGCCAAAGCACGTGTCCATATAAACTCTTCATCATTCTCCAGTGTCATATTTCAAAACTCTTGAAATAGTTTTTTCGGCTTTCGAGTTTGTTTGTTATTGATGAATTGATTTATTTTAATTACTAACTCAGATAAGTTAATTTAATTTTTTTTGCAATTTAAGTCAATATTGTTTCCTCTTTGTTACACGATTACTATTGTTAATATCATTAACCAGTGTTAGTTTTAAAGTGAATAGGAAGGAAGAAGTTAAGGTAAATCAAAATAAAAAAAATAAAGTTTTTTATTTAAAAGATATCCCCAGAAATGTTATTAAAAAATAGTAAAATTCATTTACTTCATTTTTAAAAAATTACTTTGTAAATACTGGAACGTGATCACAAAAGCTTTTAATGGGGCTATAATAATCATAACAGTTTTCTTAGAAAATAAATTCGTTTTTGAAATCAATATTGTAACGAACTACTAAAATCTCTGCAGAGTTAATGTAAACCATCAGGCAGCTTATAATGGGTACAGTGTAGTAACATTAGCTGCCTCTCTGACGCAGAAAACTAAATGGAAACACCCAATTTAACAGGATTCAATAAAGTAAACAAACCGTCCACGCTATTTTCGCTTATATTCGTTATCTCAAATGACATAAAATGTCAAGAAATAATAACATAAGAAAATTGGTAGTATTCCATAGAATCATAACATGTAGCCGGCTCGAACATTTCTTCCGATCAAATAAAAATGGGAAACACGTGGTTAGGGTAGGTTCGCTTTTTGAACGATGAGGCATCGGTGTATAACCTCAATATTTTATAAAAAAATTGTCTGCAATTGTAACGTAGATACAGAAAATTCAAATAAGTAATATAAATTTAACTGCACAAACTGGCACATGAACACATGATATAGGACAATATCTATTGTCGTCACAATAATCAACTTTTAAAGCACTTGCGTAGCTCCTTGTTTTTACGTCTTGTAGTGTTAATACTTGAGTAAGTAAAATTTTACAAAATTGATGATATTCGCATGCATAAATAAAATAATAATTTAAATAACTTATTACATAAATATGTTAACACTTACGTTTGATTTGATCCTTGTCGAGCTCCTCCTGAAATGGTAATTCAGGATTGCATTAATTAAGAGTATTGGTAACGATTTTTTATATATGTAGGTAATTCACACTTTTTTAAACAACAACGATACACTTATTTTATTATTGATTTTCTAATGATAGGTATAAATTTATTTTGTTAGCAAAACAATTTATAATATTTATATCACTTGAAAGGATCCACGTTCAGGCTTACCATTGTTACTGTAGATCACAGACGACGCTTTCGTTCTTACTTAAACAAACTTCAGCAAGCAACTGACTGGTCCTCTAAAACCCATTCGGAAACCTACTAGGAGGGGCATTTAAAATACTTAAACATACATTATAGCAATTTCGTTCAAATTGATGAGAAGGGGAACACTTATTGCTCGAGATTTTTGCTTTTATTTTTGGTTATTGACATATCTCTGCCAAGATATTTTATACGTCCTAAGTTCTATTACAAATTTTGATGCTTTCACATGTACCGCACAGTATCTTCGCGCCAAATTAAATTTATGCTGTTACTGCCATCCTTGGCATGCACTTCGTTCTTTTGTTATAAAGTCTACATGTATTATATATGTATATATATATATATATATATATATATATATTTATATATTATATTTTACCTTGAAACACTTATAGGAATCACATTAAAGACCTTGTGAAAACTTTTGAACTATTTATGTGTGCATCTTTAGTACCCTTTCTCATACTTTTCATAAATGGGTTCTAAACACTTTTTTACATTTAGCATTATTATAATAAAATTTAACTTTAGGGCTATTTATAATGATTAATATGGACATTTTCGAATTTTATTACTCCCAGGGGCTTAAATACTTCCAAATTAATAAAAAAAAATTCTCTGAAAGTTTTAGCTCTTAATATTAACTTTTAGATAGTGCGCAATTCAATCAAAGTTTCGTATAGAACTAACAAATTTCGAAAATTTTAAAAATGTTTTTTTTAGGTATAACTTGGCGACAAATGAATTAAAAGTGACAATTCGTGTCATCTTTTATTGAAAATTCGACGCTCTACAAAACAGGTTTTTTATAATTTGGTTTGTAGAGCGTCAAATTTTGAATAAAACTTATTCATTTGTTCTTTAAGTTATATCTAAAAACCATTTTTAAAATTTTTGAAAATTTTCCCATGCTATTTCTATACAAAACTTTGATTGAATTGCGCACTATCTAAAAGACAATATTAAGTGCTAAAACTTAAAGAGGATTTTTTTTATCAATTTGGAAGCATTTGAGCCCCTAGAAGCAAAAAAAATCAAAAATGTCCTTATTAAGGACTATCCTAATAATGATATATTGTTTAAAAGTAGATAAAGTTTTCAAAAAAAAAAATAAATATGAAATATATGTGAAATTTATTAAAGTTCACTTAGCTATTAGTGATTTTTTTTGTATTTGTGAATTTCATTTATACTGCCAAAATTTGTTACACAATATATATTATTATATGTATATCGTCAAAATGCTAATAAAATTATCTACAACTCTGTAAAAAACTATTTTTTAATTTCGTACCAATAATAATGTGTAAAAAGAAGCATCACATAAGTACATCATAGTATGATTTTTTACATTATTTGAGATTTTACACTCTAATTTTCAATGTCGTTATAAATAAACCTACAAAATCGATAAAATTGCATGGTCAACATTATTGCAATCAATTTTCAAGTTTTTAAACTAATTACTTCTATATATAAAAAATGCATTTTTAATATAAAATTGAAAGCCTACAACATTATTTTTTTACAATTTCAATATAAAATTCAGTTTTTATTATTTATAAAATATTCATTTTTGTTTTAAATAAAAAAAAACAATACTAAAAATTTCAAATTTCTTAACATTTATAGAATAACTGTAATTTCAGAATTATTTAAAAATTTCGAAAAATCTGAAATTTGAAATTAATTGTAGTTCTCGCTATTTTCGATAATATCAATATTGAATTTGTTGAAAAATTTTATAAATTTAATATTTATTTATAAAACGGATATAAGTTCCAACAATTCTTGAAAGTTTTTTCCACATTGTAACATATTAGTCATAATTAAACAGCTAATACGTCGAATAAATATAATAATTTAATAATATTATTTGTTTAATTAATTTTGAATTTTTTTTTGCTGAATGTTGACACAGGTGTAATATCGAAACTAGTATAAACAAATAATTATATTATTCTTTATTTTACATATTGGCGGTTTAGTTGTACCTAATATATATTTATATATAATATCTAATGATATTAAATATTTATGTTTAAGTAAATTTATCTTATTTTCATATATATAATGAAAGTGTCAATCGTACGCCCACAACAAGTCAAGTGTGCTACGTTGAGTTTGGCTCAACAAATTCTCTATGATTAGATATTGATGTTTATATTAAGTAACTGAAAGCAATAAATTCAATGTATTCAAAGATCTCAACAAGATAACTTTCCGGCAGAAAAGTTTATATTTTGAGAAAATTTAGTTCAGTAATTCCTTGTTTTCCAGACGTTTTAAGCCATTCTGAATTATTTAGCGCGAAGAAAAAAATGTGTTTATATGTATGTGTAAATTGTATTTTGTTAATTTTGATAAGCATTTAAATATTATTTGATATAGCTTTATAAAATTAATCGCCTAGGTTAGATTGGAGTGATGATCGAAAACATGTGCTCACTCAAAATTGTCAAAACCATGTTTTATCGTCAGAGATATAATAATTCGAATTATTATTATAAAACAAAAAATATGAATATAAAGAAACTAATTTCCAAACTTGCAACTTTTTTTAAGACGATTGAAGGATTAGATAGAAGATTTTTTTTTATTCTACCTCTGCTACATAAGTCCAGTCATTTAAGCTTAAATTAGGTAAGAATCTAGGAATTTGAGATACCCAGCTGTAGGTCTGTAAATACCCTAAAATTTGTCTCAAAACCTAGATATGATATGTACACCCTACCATATGTAGGTTTTGAGACAACTTTTAGAGTATTCACAGATCTACAGCTGGGTATCTCGAATACCGAGGTAAACTTACTATAATGACTGGACTACACAATCAATTTCACAGCATCATCAATTTTAAAAGTATAAAACTTTTACGATATATCTGAATATGTCAATTTCCACATTAAACAATATTTTGATAATGATATGCCAATAATTGCAGTAAAAATCCATTAGTAGGGCGCACTCGGTACCGGCCTAGGTGCCGAACTATCGAAAATTCCGGACTATCGGGCGGTAATTATAAAAACAATTTAGTTAATAATTTAACTACGAAAACACTACCAAGTGTTGATGAAAAGCAGTCTTTAAAGGAGAGTCATTAGTCATGGAAAAACGGCAGTCATTAGTCATGGAAAAACTGTTAATTGGTCTTTGTTTTTTTTGGCTGCTTTTACCCTCCCCCACCTAGTGAAGATTTAAATTATTGCACAAATTTTTCAAATTCAAATTATATTTTTCTGCAGAGATTGTTTGGGTTGCTAAAATTATTTTTGAAGTTACATCAAGTCTTCGAATTTAATGTCGAAACCTGAAGTTTCTGAGCCATCAGAACCATCAGAATAATGACAAACACTTTCAGCAACTCCTAACTCTTGGCCGGCTAATAATTGTTGTTGTTTTTAATGTTTGTCTAGAAGGCAATATTTCAGTTGTTACCGACTGAGTAGTTTTTAATTTCATAAATATTTAATGAGCCAATATTAAAATTATTCCTTAATATATTTCTATTCTCGTCCCAACTATCCCCAAAACTTTTGAATTGTTCTTCAGCGTTTTTATTTGGTATAAAAGCACACTTTTGAAGAGAACCAAAATTTTCCGAAACGATACCGGACTATTGGGCTTTCCAGACTGTTAGGTGCCAGACAGAGGACTTCTATATTTCATACAACTTTTCTTTCGACAATTCCCATTTTCATTATCTTACCAATTATTTTTTTTTTTTTGAAAATTATTGAAAATATTAGTTTCAATATTTTATATCATTGCAACTAGTTTTCATACTTTATTATCTTTTTAATACTGCGCTTATTTTTTATTTTTCAGATTTGGGATTTAAAAATTTTGTATTTTGGGACTTTTGCGCGGTGAATATTTAAAAGAATTTTTAACGTGAGATGAATCTCAAGACATTAATCAATTTTAAACACTTTACAATTTGCGATATTATGATATTTTTTTTACTGTAATGAGTCTGCAATCCTGTATCCGAAATATAAAAAATTGTTTTATGAATGTTATAACAATTTCATTTGAATTTACTATAAGAGATTTTTGACCCTCCCTTCCCCTTGGTGATACGTGGTGATATTTAAAATTAACCCCCCCCCCCATCCAGCACCAAACATTACATGTAATTTTAGTTACGAGAAAAAAATGTAAAATTTTTGATTTTTTTGAAATGTTTGGATTTAAAAAAAAAAAATTCAAGTAAAAAATAAATACATGTGATATCTTACTATACTTCCCCCCACGTAATATTTTGTGATTTTTTGTCAAATCCCCCCCTCCCCCTAAAAAATTCACGTGATTAATGGACGCCCCCTAATAAGATTCTTAAAGTTGCAATGTAATTAAATACACTCATGTTAATTAAGAAAAGTTATTTTAAACGAAAACGATAAGTTTATAAATTGTAAGGTTGGGTAGGTATTAGTATATTCTTATAGACGATTACAAAACAATGCTGTAATTTCGTATTGTATCGTATGCGAGCCAAATTTTTCTTAGCGTAACTTTCCGCCTGTAATTCAGAAATGCTTACATTACAGTTATATATGTACAATATTGTTTCTTATAAACTGCTTACATGTTAATCCAGGGGCCGCTGCAGCATTTTCTTATAACCGATTGAATGGGAAGCCACTATACGAATTTTAGCGCGTGCTAGCATTGATTTATTTATTTTTGATTCGATGTCATGAGCGTAGCCAGGATTCTCCTAGTCCGAGAAAACGAACCAGAATCTACTATAGAGAAAATGAAAATTTACTATATGTTTGATATGCCCTTTAGTATAATGTGCATATATATTTATTAGATGGTAGAGTCTTGGATTTGTAAATATTTCGTAGAGCTTCGAACAAAGAATCGAAAAAGTTATAGGAAACAAAAAAAAAATTTTAAAAAAACATTTTTTTATTTATTTACTGTCGACGTTTCGGAACTTGGTACGTTCCATCTTCAGAACATCTGTCAGGAAACATGATCTTGTTGAGATTTAAGCAAACAATATGTTTAAGTTAAGCAGAAGATGATGGATTTTTTATAT